TAGTATCTGACCTGTTTATTATCCACCGTCTCTGGGGATACAGGAATTGTTGGTGTCTCCAAGATATCTGTGCTGCCTACCCTGGAGTTGTCAGTGGTCCCTGCTTTACATTCCAACAACAGAGAAAACTTCAGTGTTACTTCAGCACTGAGAATGGGATCAAAAAGTGCAGCATTACTCCAGGAGAGAGCTGTGTGTGCCACTGTCAGAATGTATAGCCACTGGAAAAGAATGAAGATACTGAAAATGAATGACTGAAAACCAAAGTTCGTTGAAAAAAAGTTGGAATCAAAACACGTACATTAAAAATTGAAAGCAAAACACGTAAATTTTCTAAAGAAACTGTGGTACTGTGTCGATGGGAGACTATAACAGGGCAATTTTGTATTGTCAACTGAGTTGGTAACGCAAGTTGGCCACCATTAAGAGTCTAAAGCTGACGTATCGAGCGTCAGCCCTTCGTCGTTCATTCTAACGAAGGGCTTACGCTCGAAACGTCTCTACCGTTGTCAATTTACGTTATCAACTCAGTTAATAATACTAAATTACCCTGTTACGTTACACATTGTTCAAGCAAATAAATAAATGTCATACTTACACGATTGAAAAATACATCATTTAACAACTGTTTGCAGTTCTCCAGAGACGAAGACAGGATTCTCTGGAAATGAGGCTTGCATTTTGACCAAAGGAATAAAGAAGCATCCACCATCATATCAATGTCTTTCATCAGGATGGCAGACTGAAAAAGAAAACAGAAAAAGTAAAACACATAGTGTACATGACTGGACATTGTGATTACTTCGAAAACTATACACGTGGCTACGCCTACCAAGGAGTTCTCTGTGGGGTGGGGCAAGGTTTTAGCAAAACCAAAACTAAACCCTTTACACCCTGACATCAGTATGCATATTCTCCATACTGTTCTCTACACAAATCCTAAGGTGCTGACGAGGAGAATTTGTTTAACAATCAAGAGCTTCTTAATAGTTGGTGATCATCTCCCTTAATCTCCTTTAAAGATCAAGTGCTGTTGGAAGCAAAGCAAAACCAATGCATCTCAGAAAGAAAGATGAACGATGCTATCCATAAGATACTGTAAGTCTCTATCCAGTGGATAGCGTAGTACGTTTTGTGTAATATTGTCTGCTGGATAGCGATTTGTCCATTGGATAGCGTTACCGGCCCTTTGAACGACTGGGCCCAGTTTTACGACACAATTTCCTCCTCAAAAAGCCTAAACTAACTACAATGTTATTTACCTTAAAAGGCTCCTCAGAGCATGACTGAATAACATCTGCTAAATGCGTTAGTTCCTCAAGCGGACTTCCAGTTCTCCCTGCAAAACAGCAAAAGTTCAAGATCTTTTGGTAGAACATTGCAATTCATTTATCAGAGGTGCATGATGCTCAAGGCTTGTACAATTTGTTGCCTAGTGTTAAAAATGTCTAAGTATTGAAAAATATACAAACCCTCCAGAAAGAAGCATGTTGACTAAATTAAAAAGGGCATAGGAAAATTTCATTGGATTGTCATGCCAATCAGTCATGAATTTTGAGGTTATATAGTTACATTACCACTATTTCACAAGAGTAAAGCTTATCTTCAAGGGATGACTCTCTTATCTTGGGGATGGATAAGTACATGAACATGTATCAAGTATCAACGTTCCGAGGTAGTAGTTATGGAATGTCTAGGATCTTACAACTTATCTGGAGATGCATAAAATAAACAAAAAATAATAGAAGAAGATAGTACTTATAGTAATAACATAGTATAGATTGACACCAAACGTTGTGGACTGCATCACAAAACGATGTTCTGTCTGCATCAAATTTTAACCCCTGTGATGACGAATATTGTTTTTGATAAGAGTACAGACCACACTAAACCACCGTCGATTTGCTTTTTACCACATCATTGACATAAGATAAAACGATTCTTTCAGCGCCTGACCATTGCGTGACACGTTGACCCGTGCAGCGTTGTCTTTACCCTTCTCGACAACGGCAAATTGACCAATCAGATTGTAACATTACTGCCAATTGCGGTAAAAACATCAAATATTTCGTCAGACACTAACCATGCGCATGGGGCCCTGTTTCACCCTCGTCTGCCTGTGCAGGTGTTTTCTTTGTTTTTTTAACAGTATTGTAAAACGGCTCCAGCGCCAGCATGAGCTGCAGTGTTTTGATATCCACCAGACTGTTAATATCACTCTGCTCCTGTAGAAGCTGAAGGGTTGGTTCGATCAGTTGTCCAAATGGTTCCCAGTGTTCATAACTGAATGCATGCTTGACAAATTTGACCAGAGCAGGGAGGGGTACACCATTCTCACCTGGAAGAGAAAACGAGATAGTGAAGGTTTTTTTTGCACTGTAACGATTCACCCTTTGAAAAGAAGTGAGTTTGAAACTCAGAAATATTTGTTTCTGTATGTGTAGAGAATTGTTGATGACGCATTTGTGAACAAGGTGAGAGAGGAGATGACGAGGAGTGATGAGGGAAGGATTCAAGGATATGAGGGAAGGGAAAGCATTGGTAAAGAGGAACAATGAAGAACAGTGGAGGAAAGAAGAGAAGGACTGGTGACAGAAGGAGGAAGGGTTAGAAGCGAGAGTGAGAAAAGAAGGAGGAAAAAGAGGCACAAAAGAACTGACAAGAGCTGGAGAGGGAGCAGAACATGAAAACAAAAGTGCAGATTAAATTACAATGAATTCAATATTAAACATGACCATTAAAACGAATGAAATGATAATGTTGGGTTACCACAAACTTCAACTGTACACAGCTGATGACTGATGATCATAATCACAATGGAAATGAAAAGCTGACAAGATGATGAGAAGGTGAAAACATAAAAGAAAAGAAAAAACATAAAAGAAAAGAAAACAGGAGAGAACAAGAAAGTTAAGGAGGAAAAGATGAACAAGATTTCACGTTTACCTTTGGCCACAAGCTCCATGATAGAGGTGTTCTGCAGCTCCCACACAGAAGGATGAATTACTCCGTCATGTTTCAGTGCCTGTTTTATTCCTCCACCGCCAGCAATTATCTCCATTCCCGCAAAGAACAGCTCAGCACACACATCTATGGCTGTGTCTTCTGCGTCAGGAGTTGGTGCTTCGCAGTGAAGTGTACGTCTGTATGTCTCACTAAGGGCCTCTAATATGGCCAAAAATTTGGCAGCTGTACCCTGAAGGTCTGTCATAAGACGTTCAGTTGGAGTCCGTGGCCATGCATGCTGGAGAGGAAAAGAGCAAAGGTTTGTTTGTCTCATTACAGGATAAATAAATCGTGAGTTCAACAAGGCAATAAAAGATGTATAAAATATTGGATTGAAAGGTTAGCTAGTCCCTACATCTGAGCAGTTAGCAAAGCCGCAAAACTCTAAAACAAAATTTATCTTTTTTCAAATCGTCACTCTTAATCCCCACAGTATCAATAAAAGCTTTTCGTTCAATAAATTTATTCTTGTTTTTCTCTGTACCATGTTCCCACTGATAGCGTAGCTCCATTTTCTGCATGATAACACACACACAACCCACAACTCCTTCATTCGCTATAACGAAGGGCTAACGCTCGAAACGTCAACTTTGAAACTCTTTACCGAGACCAATTTATGTTTTTAATCCAGTTGATAATTACTAAATTATCTCACTTCACATAGTTACATACATAGAATACATACAAACGTACATATGAACATGTACGCACTAATGCAGCTGAACATGTACCTACCAAAGTATCCCCGTAATAAGATTACTTACATGAGCAAAATCTTTGAGGTTAGGTTTTGTCTTTGGACGCAAAAGACCTTTTGGTCTCTTACGAGTCTCAAACACCACCCTCTTGAATATCATGACCTGCATCTTTGTCTTGGCTTGTCGAAACGCTGCTTCACTCTCTGGAGTGGCTTCTGATGTACTCATCTTTTCAATTTCCTGCAGTTCATTCACCTTGCCCAAGCCTCTTTTAGCAAATGCTTCTGCGTGCATGGGTACTTTGAGATCAAAGTAACACTGGCAGACAGCGGTGTACAGGGTGCTACGCCATGTTAAGTATTTGACAGTGAGGAGAGGAACAGATGATTCCAAGCACATGCAAGCCCAGAGAAGGAACTCTAGAGCCTTCAAAAAGAAAAAAATGGATTCAAACCACTTGATGGTAAAGTGATAGAGTTTGTCATGACAAATTTAAACCTTCCATCACCCTTACAAATCTTTTAGAATTTAATGACCCAACAGTAGCTCACATGTAGAACAGCGTTTTTTTCTAAAAGACACACCCCAATTTCAGCACTAACTTTCCACATGAAGACAGAATTTTCTTGAAAAAACCATGTGCCTTATAACTGAGAAACTACATATAAACATATATCGGTAGCCAGAAAGGTTATAAGTTTCTCAATTTGAGAGATAACTATTTTTTAGGCTGGACCTAAAAGAGGAAAAAGAGTAGATTGCTTTTACACTGGATGGTAGCAAGTTCCAAAGTTCCGCAGTCCAGCTATGTTCATGTAAAAATTAAAAAAATGATTCCTTGCAATCCTTACATTTACACATCTGTTGATAACATTGAGCTGCTATCATCAACAGCAAATTATCAGACATGTTGCCATGAAAGAGTGTGTATTGATTACATGTAAAACAAAGTGTCGTTAAACCAACAACAAAATATTAAACCAAATTGATGCAATTCTAAAATAAATTTAGGACTCAGTTGAATATTTTTGTTGATTATAATTTTGATA